AGCCCGCAACCCGGGCCTGTGCCCTGACGGGGAACTGAACTGTGACCTCCTGGTTCCTAGGTCCATGCACAACCACTGAGCCACACCAGCTGGGCTGTAGTTGTGTCTTTTCCGGAACATCCTGTAGCTGGAGTCACGGGGGCAGCCGCGCCACCCTCTGAGGCGCCTCCGTGTGTCCCGTGGCTGGTGCGGATGACACTCCGCCGCCTGGAAGGCCCAGTTACCCCCACCTCCCACCCCAGGGCGCCGGGGCCGCTCCCGGTCCGGGATGGGCCTCTCTTCAGCTCCTGGGGCTAAGCACCATGGGGTGATTGTTGGCTCAGATGGTTGCTCCCCCACTTTTCACTTATCTACCCCTTTCAGGATGCCTGGCACCCCGCATCTGCCCGCACCCCTGGGCCCAAACCGTCTTAAACTTCACCAGTGACTCTCGTCCCTCTCGCCTCTTACCCAGTCTTCATCCTTCTCACCCCTTCAGAGCAAAAAGACAAACCAAACCACAGACTGAGGCATGGTTTTTATTTTAAATCCTCACTTGAGGATGTTTTTTCCCATTGATTTTTTTAGAGAAAATGGAAGGGAGGAGGAAGGGAGGGAGGGAGAGAGAGAGAGAGAGAGAGAGAGAGAGAGAGAGAGAGAGAGAGAGAGAGAAACATCGATGTGAGAGACACACACCGACTGGGTGCCTCCCGCCCACACCCCAGCTGGGGCCTGGGATCAAACCTGCAACCCAGATAAGGTGCCCTTGACCCGGCACCGAACCCTGGACCCCTCTGTGCGCGGCGTCGCTCAGCCGGAGCCGGAGCCGCACTGGCGGGGGTGGTCTGTGTGCTTTCTGAGCACTTACTCCTGCGATCAGCTCTGTCCCCCTGGGACCTGAGACGCTGCCTCTCCCCGAGATGGGAGGGAGGCGGGCTCCGTCGCTCATCTCTCTGTGAGGACGGTCCCGTGTGGAAAAGGCTGCTCGGATCTGGGTGAAGATGGGGGGTCCCCAGGGGACGGGGGGCCCGCCTGGCGCCCCTCCAGCCCCCGGTCACTGGAGAGCAACCTTCGCGTCCCCGTCACATCCCTTCTTCGGGCCACATGTGCGAGGCAGTAAACAGCTCTCCGCGACCCAAATAAAAAGGGCTTTATGGAGCGAACAAACACGAGCCAATGCCAGGATCCCGTCTAAACGAATAAACAAACCCCAGTCCGGAGGCGACGGGCCGCAGGTTTGGGGGAGACGAGCCAAGCGAGTTGGTTTCTTCGTTCCAGGGGGGAGGAGGGGCGCCCCGGGCCCGGTCAGCAAGCCCCACCTCCAGACTCGAGGGTCCCGGCTCCTCGGGGTGGAAGCAGACAGCACCAGTTTCCGCCACCAGCAAGCGGCCCCCCCGGACTTGCATTTAGAAATACAGGCGGTGGCCCCTCGGAGACGGGAACGCCGGCCTCCCGGCCTGGCCTCCGGTCGGCAGTGAGCTGGGGCCCTGGACGGAGGTGCTGGGCCCGGGGCAGGCATTAGGATCAGCTGGGCTTGTCGCCTCAGCCACGCGGGCTCACGTGTCCCCTGCCGACCTGGCACCTGGCCGTCCCCGTTTTGGCCTCGGTCACTCTGTCCCTCCACAAGCCCCCTCCCCTTGTCTGATCATCTTTCCTTGACCCCATTGTTTCATTTTCTGCCCACAGCCCCTCGTGGCATCTGCTGTCTGTGGCGTCCACACGCTGCCTTCTCCCGGCTCCTCAAAGCTGCTATGGGGACACCAGCCCGGTCCCGGCGTCCTGGCCCCATGGCCCACGCTCTCCGCCTTCTCTCTCCGGGTCTCTGGCTGCTTCCACTCCTGACTGGCCAGCTCCCTCTCCGTCCCTGCCTGGAAGGGTGAGCTCACATCAGAGCGTGGGCACGGGACCTCACAGGCGGCCGCCCCCGCCCACGGGCCGAATCTCAGACTGTGCCCTGGGCAGGTACGATGGCTGCTGTGGGTACGGCAGGCACTTGAGTTGGACAGGTTGGTGCAATCTTTCTCCCCAACGCACTCGTCCGTTCGCTCTGGCGGCGTGCGTTAGGCACGCTTCATGTGCTGGGCAGGGAAACACGGAATCGAGCCGTCCTTGCCTTAGAGAACTCTCAGGCTGGGGGGAGAAACAAAACCACAACCAGCTTCTAAGACGGGGTCTCGGACGCAGTGAGCGGGCTGGGGGGAGGGGGTGGGGCAGTGCAGACCCCCTGGAGCAGGGCTGAGTGTTGGGGGCCAGGGAGAGGGTGGCCAGACCAAGCCGAGGGAAGAGAGGCTGAGAGCCGCTCGCAGGGTGGGTGGCGTCACTGTGGTGTGAACCGGAGGCAGGGGGTGAGGCGGGAGGGGCTTGGGTGTCGTCTCCAGAGTCTGGGCCGGGGTCGGCAAGTGACAGGAGAACCGCTGAAGGACCCTGGGCAGAAGGCGGTGCTGTCCAGCCTGGCCTCTTCCACGAGCCACTCCATGGAGCCGAGGGTGCACTTGAGGACTCTGAGACAGAGGCTGCGAGAAGCCCCTAAATTCCTGGCCCCCACCAGACTACATTTCCCAGCACCCCTTGCATCTAGCTGGGGTCATGTGACTGGTTCTGGCCAATGGACCGTGGGCTACGGGCAAGAGTGATGGGGCCACTTCCAGGCTTGGCCCCTAAAAACTCCCGCCAGAAGCTCCGAGCGCTTTGCAGCCTCCCGGCTGGACACAGGGGATGCAGTGGAGGATGCTGGGGTGGAGCCACGATATGGAAGGAGTCTGGGTCCCTCGATCACCTAAGAGAAGACCGCCCTATGCCAGCATGAACGGGCGTTAAGCCGCTGAGGTTTTGAGATTGTTATTAGACGGGGTGGGGGTGCCCTGTCCAGTACAGCGCTGTGGTGGGCAGATGGGAGAAGCCTGAATCGGGGTGGGACAAGATGAGGAGGAGGAACAGGTGCAAGCGATGCTCGGCAGTGCGGTACTCACCACTCGGCGGCGAGCTGGACACAGACCTGGCGGACGGAGAATTCAGGAGGAAGACGAGCCTTGAGGAGGGAGGTGCCACGTCTAAGTCCAGGGTGAATCGTGGGGACCCCGGTGGAGATGACGACGGGGACCAGGGCTTGGGTGACGGGTTGGCACCAACTCCACACATAGATGGTGACCTGAGCCGGAGAGCGTGCGTCACGCGGGGAGCGGTGACTCGGGGCGTCAGCAGGCACCGCTCTCGCCCTCCCTGGTCGGGGGAGGGTTACAAGGAACACGGCGCCCAGTGACATGGCACACGGTCTTCCCGCTCTGGGTTACATCGGGCACCTTCGGAGTTGATCTTTATTTTTTTAATTGTTTCACCAACTAGGACAACATGAGTGAAAAATGAATGTTCTCGCCCAGCTGGCGGGGCTCCGTGGCTGAGAACCGACCTAGGAACCAGGAGGTCCCGGTTGGAAGCCTGGTCAGGGACAGGCCCGGCTGCGGGCGTGACCCCTCGTGTGGGGTGTGCGGGAGGCAGGGGACCCATGATTCTCATGGCTGTGCTCCAGGCAGAGGAGGACTGAGAGGGGCCGTGGAGGGAGCCCCACTCCCAGCCTCCTGCCAGAGGGGACCCCTCTGTCCACCCCCCTCGCTCTCTGGGTGCAGAGATCTCAGGAGAGAACCTTCTGGAAGGTATGCTGAGCACCCCCTCTGCACCCGACTTGGAGCCAGCCGCCGCCGAGGCCACTTTGAACTTGAACTCCGTTGGAATCCAGCTCATAGATCCGTGGCTCAGCCTGGGGCCTCCCTTGGGGGCCTGGGTGAGGCCGGCACAGGACAAGGCGGCCTTGAGGGCCAGGGCGTGGGGGGAGCGAGTGCCTGTGCCCTGTACCTGGGGACGGGCTGCGGGCCCAGCGGGGCGCCCACATCTGGAAAGTGTCAGGTTTAAGGCCCAGGCCGCGCCCGGGTCAGCCCGAAGGACATGCCTGCACGCCCGCAGCTGTGCAAACGCCCGTCAGGTTCCCTCCGAGACAGGGCCCCTTTGTCAGCTTCCCCTCGGTCCCCGGCTGCCCGGCCCCCAGCCCAAACAGCTGCCGGCAGCATCTGTCTGAGGCCGCATTCATCCGCCCCGAAGGAAAACATCGTTAACTCGGCCGCGTTCGGGCTTATCCGCCAGACTTGCCCTCCCCCCGCCCAGGGGCCCCGTGTCCCAGCCAGTGTCCCCCCCACCTCAGTGCATAGGGCGCCCCAAACATTCCGTAGCGCACCGCCGCCCCTGGGAGCTGCCGGCTTCAGTGGTCCTTGGGGGCTGTCACTGGGAAGCCCTTTCCGGGTGGATGGGGTGTGGCTGGTGCCTGGTGGTGATGGGGACACAGTGCATGGGCCCAGGTCCGTGCTGTGCACACGAGGTGGGGATGGACCCGACCGCGGGAGAGGGCAGGACTCGCCGCTCAGCAGCGCTCAGACCGAGGCTGTGGCAGGAGGTGTGGGGCTGTGGTCCCCGGGACGGGCTGTGCCCTTGTGCTTTGCAGAGTTGCATTAATGAGTCACCTATAGGACACACACACACACACCTCACTCTGTACAGGGACTCCCAGGAGGCAGGCTCCGTCCTTCCGGAACGCAATGATGCTTTCTTATTTAAAAAGTGTGTGTGTGTGTGTATATATATATATATTTTTTTTAATTGACTTCAGAGAGGAAGGGAGAGGGGGAGAGAGAAACATCAATGATGAGAGAGAATCATGGACCGACTGCCTCCTGCACGCTCCACGCTGGGGATCGAGCCGGCAACCTGGGCCTGTGTCCTGTCCGGGGACTGAACCAGGGACCGAACCAGACCTCTTGGTGCCGGGTTGATGCTCAGCCACTGAGCCCGCCGTCTGGGCCGGCTCTGTGTGCTCCTCAGCGCTCGCGTGTCCTTGTCCATTAAACTCTGGGAGCTGTTTGCTGACGAGCACGGCAGGTCTCAGAGCGGCTGCTGCCTGTCTCCCCCGGCTCCTGTTCCTCTGCTCTGTCTGGGCTGGAGCAGGAGCGTCCCCTCCACTGTGGTGTCTCCCCCTGGAGAGCCGAGGTGGCGGGTCAGGCTCCGAAGCCGCCGGCCACGTCCACTCCCGCCGGACGCGCTCCTCTCGGCTGTTTGCTGCAGCCCCGGGAGGGGCCGGAGGAGAAGGCCTTCAGCCGAGGTGTGAACCAGTGAGTGACAGCCACGGGAACCCAGGAAAAGCCGTCAGCTCGGACGCGGCTGCGGTGGGAGAGGGGGAGGGGGCCCGCCGGAACCCCCAGCTGGACAGTTTCCATTCTTTGGCCGGAGGCCTCGGGGTCCCTGAGGCTGTCCCAGACACACAGGCAGAGGCCCGCAGACCCCCTCCCCCTCCATGCGCACCCTGGACCGCTGTCCCCGCGTCCCTCTCTGAGCGGCTGGCCGTCCAGTGCTGGTCTTAGGAGCGGACGCGGTCCCCGCCCTCTGTGCGCAGGCCCTGGCCCTACACCGACAGCTGCCGGACACGGAGCCGCGGCTCAGGGGACGCGGCTAAAAAAGACGAGGTGAGTCATTGTCCAGGCCGGGCCGCCTGTGGCGCGTGGGGCGCTGGGAGAGGACGGGCGAGGGGGGCAGCGCTGAGCTGCCCGGGCCGGCCCTGCTGGGAACGCAGCCCACGGCCTGGGTGTCGGCGGGGCCTTGAACCTGAAACCGAGTTCCCTGGGCTGATGGCGCATGGCCAGGGCAGGGGGACCGCCAGGGGCTGGTGATGAAAAAGGCCAGTCTCCCCTCCTCCCTGCCTGGGACCCCACTTTAAGTTCCGGGGGCTACGCTGAGAGGCTCAGTAACATTGGATTACAGTTTTTCCCCGCATCCCTGAAGGTAGTCTGTGTGTGAACTCTGCATATAACAGGTCAAGTTCAGCTCGCCACCCCTTCTCTTCATCTTAAAAAAAAGAATAAAAATTATACACACACACACACACACACACACAGGGTGTCCCCCCAGAAGCGTACCCACACTTTAACAGCTGAATTTTGAAGATGAAATGTATTTTCATAAACACTGCCTTTCTCATTATTCAGTGTGTGAGACATTGTCTGGGGGACCCCTTGGAGATGGATATGTGGGTACGGGGGGGTCTATTTTACAACACCCCGTGGCCGCGGTCTCTGTGCAGACAAGGCGTGGCAGCGGAGCGGGCGGGGCCCCGCGGGGATTCTCCCTGGCGGAGCCGGGCTGGCGCCTGGGCTCCCTCCGGCTTAATCCCGCCATGTCATCTCCGCTGGGCCCTCGATTATTACCCCGCCGTATGGACGGGCGCGGGCGCAGGGCGGGCTTGCCAGTGGCCCGGGCCACACCGCCTCCGGGAGGGTTGGCTGGGATTGGAACCCAGGCAGCGGGGCATCGCCCGGGAGGCCTCCTTCCTTCTCCCGACGGCGCCCCCGGGGCTGGGCAGTGTTGGCAGCTGCCTCACACAGCGGTGAGGAGAGCCTGCACCCAGTGCCCCCCGCCCGGCAGCAGGACGCCATCCGGATGAGATGGAAGAGAGCCCCACGCGGCTCCTGGGCCCGTTGGCCCACAGGCCCCCCCACCTGCTGGGTTTGACCGGGGCCCAGGGCTCGGGCAGCTCCTTGCTGCAGGCAGGTCCCTGAAGGTAACCCCCCAAGGCCCCAGCGAGGGTGTGAAGACCTGGCCCCGCTGTGTGAGTTCAGGCAAACACGGACCCTCTCGGAGCCTCCGTGGCTGCATCTGCTATAGTTTCAACGGGAGTAACACACTCATCCCTGTTGGGTGTGGGCAGCTGCGGGTTCGAGTGTGAGGGTGCGTGGGCCAGGCCTTTGCTTCCTGCCCGTCCTGGGCTCTCCGTGAAGAAGCCTTTTTCTCTGCGCCTTCCCCGCCCCCCCCCCCGCCCCCCGGCCTTTCTCAGCCTGGGAAGGTCCCCACGTGCTCCTATAAGGAGGGACTTCGCTGGCTCCTGGGTGAACGTCCCCCTCTCCAGGAGGTGATGTCCGGGGGTCTCCCCGTCTCCCCAGCTCAGGACACACACGTGGGGACCCCTCGTGGGGACCCTAATGCCTCTTTCCTATTAAGTACCCTTTCTCTGCCCACGCTCGCTCTCCTCTCTCTAATCCAGCGTCCGAAGCGACGTGCTCAGATGCTTCCAGAAACCTGCTGCCGAGTCTCCGCGGACCCCCACCCCCACCCTCCCCGGGGTGAAGCCCCCATCCCTTAGCACCCACGCGGTCTCTGTGGGTGTCCGCCGCGGCCGCAGCGCCTGGCCCAGCGCTGGCCCCCAGGGCCCCAAACACACCCCTTCTGGCTCCCCCCTCACTGCAGGACGAGAGGGCTGCCCGCCCGCCGGCCGGCTCTGCTGCTTGTGGAAATCTCGGCCTTTCCTCCGCTGGCAGTTGCAGGCCACCTGGCCCTGGGAGGGGCAGCAGCCTGGAACCGGAGCTTTCAGTCCAACGGCAGCCCCGGCCTGCGCTTCTGACCCGCAGAGGTCAGAGGTCATGGTCCCCGCTCTGCAGAGGTCAGAGGTCATGGTCACCGAGGTACTTGCGGGGGCCGCTAGCTGGGTGTTTGACATCTTAGTGCAGTTACGTCTCTGCAGCGAGATCCCACGGGGGAAGTGGCCATCGGGGGGCCCGCTGGGTGGGAAAGGCACGAGCAGCCAGGCTGGAGCCAGAGCACAGGATGGAGGGGCTCCCCAAACTAGAAAACCATGACTCATCCTGTTTGACGGCAGCAGCTTCGAGGTCAGAATCGATGCCGAAAAGTTCCAGGTGAAGAAACATCACGTTTTCAAACCGAGTCGGGATGCCCTTGGGCCGTGTGCCCCGCCCGGCACGCCCACCGGCTTCCTGCCGCGGCCTCGGTGCGCGGGGCCACCGGCCACTTGTGTGGCGAGAAGGGTCATCTCGCCGCAGCCGGTCCCAGGGCCGCCGAGCAGGGACCCAGGAAGCCGGCTCGCTCCCGGGGGCCGGGGCATTCGGGGAGCAGGTGGACCTTTGGGTGCTCCTGTTCCGGGAGGACCGGCCCCCCCACTTTGTGCCAGGATACAATAACCAGCCCCCCACCCATTTCAGGGCAAGTGGCCCGAGGGCTGAGGAAGGCCCGTCTTGTTTTTCTCTAGAACGTTCCAGACTCGTGGCCTCATGTCAGTTCTGTTTGGGCAGCAAGTGTCTCATGCTCCCCCTGGGAGATACGGAGACGGTGTAAGTTCACCCACCGGGGGCTTCTCTGTCCCCAGGAGCGCGCACGCTCTCTCTCTCTCTCTCTCTCTCTCTCTGTCTCTCTCTCTAAATGGACTTTTTAGAGAGAGAGGAAGGGGGGGAGGGAGAGAGAGAGAGAAACACTGATGTGTTGTTCCACTTATTCGTGCGTTCATTGGTGGCTTCTGGGTATCGAACCGGCAACCTTGGTGTTTGGGGACGACGCTCTGACCCTCGGAGCCCCGGCCTCTTAGGAAGCCCCCTCGGGCTGGTCCTGGAGGCACCTCGTTTCCTAGCCTCGCGCCTCCCTGCCTGCGCTCCCGGAAGCTCTCTGCACGCAGCTCAGGCCTCACCCAAGAACGACCCCTTCTCAGAGCCGCCCGCCCTGAACGCGAGCCCTGACCTGTCCCCCCGATTATCAGTGGAAGGAGTTTCTTTCCTCCATTAATCTCAGCGTTGGCTTCCTGGTGTGTTCACCCCTGATCCCACGGCCGGAGCCGGGCAGGGCTGGGGCGCGGGGAGGGGGGCAGGGCTGGGGCACGGGGAGCCGGGCAGGGCTGGGGCGCGGGGAGGGGGGCAGGGCTGGGGCACGGGGAGCCGGGCAGGGCTGGGCTTGAGTTCCGTCCACACACTCAGCCGCCCTCTGCCTCCACTCTGCCCTTGCCAGCCCCTCTCCCACTGTCCTCTGCACGGGCCCTGCAGGCAGCTGGGTGCCCCTGAGCCAGGGAGGCTGGGCCCTGGGAGTGGGGGACTGTCAGTGAGCTGAGCTTGGGGAGGTGGGGGAGCAGGAAGATGAGAGGGTCCTTCCCGTCACCCCCCTCCCCGTCCCACTTCCACCCAAAGGCCGGACACAGGCCAGGCCGCGCCCCCACGTGAACACAGGGGCCTCTGGCACCGGGGCGGTTAGAGCCCTCGCCTCCCCGCTGCTGGCAGGGCCGTGTCTGAAGGTCCTTTCATTTGCTCGGCGAGAAGGAGGAACCGGAGGGGCCCCCTCAAACCTGCTCACTCCCCGCCCACCGCTCGGGACGCCTGGGGCCCGCCGCCCTGGTGCCGCGCTTCTCCGGGCGGGCGGGCGGGGCGCGGGGAGAGGCCTCTGCGGCCGGGCGGCGGGCGGGGCGGCCGGGAGGCAGGGCGGAGGCGGCGCCTAGAAAAGGAGGCGCGGGCCGGGAAGGTGCGCGGAGGCCGGCGCGGGCGGGCGGGCGGGCGGCAGGCCCGGAGGGAGGCAGCGCGCAGCCCGGACCGGTCGCGGCCCCTCCCGGCGGCCGGGGGAGCGCGGGGCGCAGGCCTGAGCGCCTCCTCGGCTCTGCCCGCAGGTCCCGGGCGCCGCCCTCGCCCCGCCGCCGCCCCGGGTCGGAGCGCGGCGAGGAGCCCCCCAGGAGTCGGGCCCGCGCCCCCGCCCCCGACATGGTGGGCCACCTGCATCTGCAGGGCATGGAGGACAGCTCCACGGAGCACGGCCGCGAGGGCCTGCTCGACAGCCCCGACTCCGGGCTGCCCCCCAGCCCCAGCCCCAGCCCGCCCTTCTACTCCCTGGAGCCCGGCCTCCTCGACGCGCGCGCGGGGGGCGCCCCCTCCTCGGAGCCCCCGGGACCCGGCGCTGGAGAGGCCAGAGCGGTGAGTGTGCACTGGGCGCGGAAGGGGACCGGGTGGCGGGGGTCTGCCCGCCCGCGAGTCCCAGACGGGGCCCTACAACGCCAAGATCCCCCCAACTCCCCCCCACACCCTCCGCCCAGGAGGGCCCCGTGCGCGGCTCCCAGGTGGGCCGGCCGGTAGGGACCTGCTCCCCGGCCTGGGCCTCTCCAGGGAGTGGCAGCAGGGAGAAGGGGGTGAGGCCCCCAAACCCCCAGAAACAGCCCCTCCCCCGCGGGGGGCTTGAGCCCTGGCCCAGCCGAGCGTACAGACGGACAGACGCCCGCCAGGTCCCTCTGCCGCTGCCCCGCTGCCCAGTTTGCGGTTCCCAGGCTCCCGCTGCCAACATGCAGCCTCTTTTTTTTTCTCTTTTCTTTTCTTCTTTTCTTTTCTTTTCTTTTTTATTGTTTTAAGCGAACCCAGACAGGAACCCCCTTCCCGGGAGGTGAGGGTGTTGACGTGGAGCTGAGGTGGTGCTGGGGGGGCTGGGACCCCGTGCGGAGACCAAGCTGGTCTCCTGCGGGACTTAGTGGGGCTCAGGGCAACCGGCTGGGCGGCGGGAATGTGACTGCGAGTCCCCCACAGGGCAAGTGGGGAGGGGAGGTTGCTCACCCCGTGGCGTCTCCCCTCCCTGCCGGCCCTGCACGCTGACCTTCGGTCCTGCGGGGTGCGCGCGCGTGTGCGTGTGCGTGTGCATGTGCGTGCGTGTGCATGCGTGTGTGCGCGCATGTGTGTACGTGTGTGCGCATGTGTGTGCGCGGCGCGCATGTGTGTGCGCACACATATGCACACTACTCCAGCCCAAGGCACTTTCCTGGGCCTGGGCATGCCGCCTGGGGGCTCCGGGGCAGCAAATGCTCCCCCTCCTGACACCCCGGGAGGCGATGGCACGGGTGTCGTTGATGCCTCTCTCGCCCCTGAGTCCGTGGCCCCCAAACTTGGCCTCAGAATATCTGAGTCCTTTACAGGGCACCATGCCCGCCCCACACCCCGGCAGCCTCATTTGGTGGGCACAGGCCGGCGTGGCTCAGTGGCTGCGCGTCGACCTATGAACCAGGAGGTCACAGTTCGATTCCCCATCAGGGCACAGGCCCGGGTGGCAGGCTCATCCCCAGTGCGGGGCGTGCGGGGAGCAGCCGATCCATGACTCTCTCTCATCATTGATGTTTCTCTCTCCCTCTCCCTTCCTCTCTGGAATCAGTAAAAATATATTTAAAGAAATAAAACCACTACATTGTGGTTTCAATTAAAATAAACAAACACCTCCCCGGGCATTTTTCACGTGCAGCAAAGCTTGGTACCCGCTGTCTCAGGCCACAGTCAGGCGGGGATTTGATTCTGGTCTCTCTCTCGGGGCCGGGGGGGGGGGGGGGGGGGGCGGGACGCCAGGTGGATCGAGGTGACGGGCTGTCTGCAGGGACATTGACCCTGCATGTCCCTCGGGGCTCCCTCGGCACTGTGGCTGGAGGGTATCGGGGCACAGCTCCCGCGGCGCCTGGCACAGCAGAGAAGGGGGCCGGGGAGCAGCCTCCCTCGATTGTCTCGCTGACCCAGAATCCTCCGGAAAGAGCGCTTTCCGGGCGCGCTCTCTGCGGCTGGGCCAGCGCGGTGCCGCCTGACTGGTCTTGGCTGGCGTGGGGGGACTGACCTTCTTTCCTCCCAATCGGCCGGAGGGCGACCCGGGGCTGTTTCCGCGGCAGCGAGGGACCCGCCTGGATAGCCGCCCCGAACCCCGAACCCCGAACCCGTTAGCTGGTGGCTCGTTCTCACACATCCCAGCGCAGGGTGCACCCTGAGTCCCCGAGCGGGCGCTGAGGCCCAGGGGCGAGCCATGGCCCAGGCCACCCAGCTGGTCGGTGCCGAGCCGGGACAGGACCCGGGAGTCTGGCTCCGGGCCTCCACCCTGAGACCATGCACTGCCCCACTGCTCACCGGGAGCTCAGGGAGGGGGTTTGTTAATTAAGAAACAAAGTGCACCCTCGCTGGTTTGCTGGGTGAGTAGAGCGTCGGCCTTCAGGGTCCCGGGTTCAGTCCCGGTCAAGGGCACGTCCCTCGGTTGCAGGCTCCATCCCTGGCCCTGGTGGGGGCGCGTGTGGGAGGCAACCAGTCCATGTGTCTCTCTCACATGGATGTTTCTCTCTCTCTCCCTCTCTCTCTCTCTCTCTCTCTCTCTCTCTCTCTCTGTCTCTCTCTCTCCCCCCCCCCTCTCCCCCTCCCTTCCACTTTCTCTAAAAACCAATGGAAAAATATCCTGGGGTGAGGATAAATAAATAAATAAAAAGAAGGGTAGCCATTGGAAAACCCAGACACAAAGGGCCGTGAACCTACGTGGTGGTGAGATGCTGCTTTTAATAAAAAGAGAGGAAATGGTTGCCATGGGCAACCTCTCCTCAGCAGGGGGCCTGCAGCTGGCCCGCCCGCCTGCCCAGTTACTGAGGGGGCACCCCACCTCCCGTGCACTCCAGGGGTTCACCCCCTGCTCGCTGTGGCTCCCTGAGACGCTTTCCAGGCGCAGACAAGGGCACCGCTCAGGGGGCGGGAGAGAAACCTGACCCGCGTCCGGGAGCCCAGGTCTCGGATGCCCGGGCGTGCAGCGGGCTGGCCTCCTCCCGCGGCCGCACGGCTGGGGCGCAGCCTGCTTCCCGCAGGGCGGCTGCTTCATCCTGACACCCAGTCCCAGGCAAAGTGGGCGGCCTGTCCCCAAACCCTAGAAGCCGGCGTCCTCACCAGCTCATCACCCGTTTCTTATGCAGGACACGCATGTTATATGCATGTATGTTTTGTGCATGTTAAATTCGCTCACGCTTCCCTTCTCCAAGCAGCTCCCATCCCCCTCACTTTTGTTTAATGGGCTGGACCTCCCTCCCGGACGACACCCCATGGACACAGGCCGGGCTCCGCTGGTGCGAGATGGCACCCCACCCAAGACACACATGGCCTGGCCCTGCCTGCCTTGACCGTGGGGTTGTTGCTCACTCTCTGGATAGTCATGTTCCTGGTGACTCCCCAACCCGTGGAGACCCGGAAATCAGTCCTCCATCCCGCCCGTACTGACTGCACCCACTGTATGCCACGCCCAGGGGGACATAGTGCCAGGTGGATGGATAAGTGCCCACCCTTAAGCCAGAAAGATGGGGGGGTACTTTAGACGGGGGGTGGTCAGGGAAGTGATGTTCAACAGAAACCAGGAAAAACATTCCGGGGGTAGACTTGATGGTTGTGTGTGTCAATCCAAGAGAACGGCACGTGCAAAGGTCCTGGGGCAGGAACAGAAGACAGGTGTGTTCCAGGAGTAGCGAGGCGGCCGGCACAGGCCTGAGCAGGGACTTGTAGGCCAAGCTGAGGCCAGAAAGTAAAATTCCATTCAGTCTTTTACACATGTACTTGCGACTGTTTTATTTTGTAAAAGGTATTATGAGTTCCCACACTCCCCAAATTAGAAACCCGAATCAGAGACTTGCCTGAGAGATGCCCGTGAGGACCGGGAGTGGGTAGGGCCTGGCTGTCCTGCAGGGCACCCCAGCCAAGGCTGCCCGCCGGCCAGGAGGGCTTTGCCCGCAGCTGCATTCCTCCCACAAATATTTAAGCCGGGCGGGACCGGGCGTGCAGCCGGGAGCTAGACAGACTCGTCTGTGCCCCGCAGGCTCCCAGCTGGACCGGCACCTCCTCCCCGTCCTGCCCTGCCACGCAGTGGGGACTGTGGGGGTGCATCGGGGGAACTAGCCCTGCCCCATCTCCCTGCCCCCCTGGCATGTGTGAGGGTGCAGCCACCACTGGGGGCGGGGGAGGGGGGGCAGAGGAAGGACTCGGCCCTGCGGGCCCCGCCCCCTCCATCTGCCGGGCTGGTCACAGGTGGAGTGTGTATC